AGAGATGTTAAAAATATCTTCCATTTCAATTCATTGAGTTTTTTTGTAGGTGTGATGTTATTAGGTTGGTAGATGAAGCTCTAATGAATGGGAGAGGAGCAGGGGTATCTGAGAAGCATTTCCCCTCAAGAATATCCCTTAAACTCACCCCAACCCTACAAACTAACATCATAAGTGTGTCCCTAAACAGGTCCTCTGAAAACCCCATAACAGAAATAGAGATAGAGAGGACAGTGGAAGCATCATTTGAACCTCCCAACCTTGGGCTTGGACTCAAGGTCTGTTGGGATATCTCTTGAAAACTTTCTTGTTAATTATTTATTTGAATTTTTATGGTTTCCAATGTGATATTTTGACTATTAATATCTCAATTTATATGCATGTATATATTATAAAAATAAAGTTCCTCTAATCCAGAATTAAAGTCTATTTTGATTTTTTTTCAAACTCTAATCCTCTTTGATCACAAAATAAAAATAGTTTTAAATAAATAAATATAAAAAACTTTGATATATCAAATATATAAATATAAATATATATATATATATATATATTAAAATAAATCCAATTATATTAAATTTATAACATAACTATTTTTTCACACATTATAGTCCAAGAGTAGTGTAATAGTTTGAAGAAAAAATCAAAATAGACCTTAATATTTGGACAGTGTGGAGTATTATTTAGAAACTATATTTGAAAATAAAAATATTCATATTAAATTTTTATCGTAGGAAAATGTGTTTTTCTACGTAATATATTTTACGGTCAACATTTTAAAATGTTGACCGAGAAAAGTGGAATGGTAAGAATTTTTTTTGAAGGGAGATAGTATTAAATACCAATTAACTTTGCAGTTTACGGAGTATTTTATTTTAATGGTTTGAAAATAAAATAAGAACAAAAGAAGAGATTAGAAAGTTGTTTTTGAGACTATTAATTGTTTAAATGTTGTGTGCTTGTATTCTAATTACCACGACATCTCTACCATACAATCTCAGGTATGAATAAAAAGATTAAAGAGTAAATAAATATTAAAGAGGTATGCTAGGGGGGATTGCGTACCATAAATATACACGATGCATGCATTTTGTTACCACGCATATTTATTTATTTATTTTCTTTTTCTTTTACATGCATAAATATACACCATGCATTTTGAAATTGATTCTTATAAGTAATTAAGACTTTTAATTTGTTAGCATAATACATTTGTTTTAGTTCTTAGCAGTTTTGCAATTCTAATTACTTTAGACTTAATTCTCATGGTAAAAATTGTGTCATTTATCAACCTAGATCTTCAATTTTCAATTTTTATTCATTTATATTTCTAAAAATTTGGAAATTAGAGATGTAGTATGAATTAGTACACAATTTAGGGCTTGGAAATTGCATTAGACATGATTAGAAAATACAAGACTAAGATGTTGAGTGTCAAATAAATGTGTTATCCCATACTAATAGAAGTGCTAATTACGTATAAGAACTATATATTTTCGAAATAAATTTTTTTGTAAGAATGAAAATATATTTAACCCATCTTAATATTAGGGTGCATTTATATCCAATCATATTTTGGCTTAATTCACTCTATTTATGTTAAATTGACAATTTACCATACAAATGTACAAAATACAACTTTTTAATGTAAAATTGTTGACTTGGGAAAGGTATTTTGTTTGTTGAAAAAACTAACTTTCAACTTTTTGCAATTCTTTCTAGTTTCTCTCAATTTCTTTCAAATTTGCTTCTAGTTTTTCTTTGCGTTTCATCCAACTCTTTCTAGCTTCTCCCAATAACGACTTAAATTATTTATAATAACATTGTACGGAGTATATCCAAATTTATAATATACCACCTCTACTACGTGCAAAGATGGATTTTTTTTATCAAAAATTAGTTTTCTTGCATAATTATATGGGAAATCATTTAATTTAACGCTTCACTTTTTTATCATTTTCCAACTCTTTTTAGTTTCTTCCAACTCTTTCAAGATTATTCCAACTTCTTTTAGATTTTTTCTAATGTCTAGTTTTAGAACTCCAACCAAAAGGAACACATCCTTCATACTCCCTCCGTCCCTGAGTGTTTGTCCACATTCATTTTTTCACACCATCCAATGCACTTCTTTAATCCATTTTATCAAGTAATTTGTATATTAAAAAATTATAAAAATTATATATTAATAATCTATATGTTAAGAGGAATCAAACAAGAACACACATGACTATTTTTAGGCTTACACATTGAGAGAATTTGATAAGTCAAAGTGCTTAGATGAACAGTTCCAAAAGTCAAAAGTGGACAAACACTCAGGAACGGACCAAATATAAACCAAGTGAATTTCACAAAACAAACTTAACAAAGTGTAATACCCCGTATTAAGATGAGAATGAAAAGAGCTTAAAAAGATTGATAGTACTATTTATGCCAACAAGGTGCATTTTCTTTTTGAAAGATCATCACTTAGAAACTGCAAATTTAATCGTACTTGACTTGGAGCAATTTTATGATGGGTGCATGACCTTTTGAGAAATTCTTTGGGCGCGCATGAGTAATGACAAAGTGCGTGAGAAAGACTTTGGGGCCATGGGCCAGGGCGTTACACAAAGTGTAGATTTTTCCACACCTTAATAGTATAGTGAAAAGTTTAATCCAATGGGATTAGATTTTTCCCATAGTTGTGACGAGTTTTCACGTAAAAAAGAATAGTGTGTTGATCTTTGATTTTATTTTTTTGTACATTTTTCTTCCCGTTTTGAATTTTGAGTATGGTGTTTGGTAATTCTTTTCAATAAGGTTGGGAGCGGTGAAACCGTGGTGACAAGCCTCAAACCATGGAAGTTTGAACAATCCGTGAAGGGAGACAGCTCATGTTTCAACTGGTTTTTGCACGACAACGTGGACGGGAGGGAAGTCTTCTCGTCGAAACCCTCGAAGCTCGCGATGATGAACCCGAGGGCTTGGTTCAAAAACCGCTACTCGAACGCTCACCGGCCCTTCACGAGGCAGGGAGGGGTGGTGTTTGCGGGTGACGAGTACGGGGAGAAGGTGGTGTGGAAGGTGGAGAAGAGTGCCATGGGGAAGACTATGGAGTGGGAGCTGAGGGGATGGATTTGGCTAACTTATTGGCCTAATAAACAAATGACATTTTACAGTGAGAGCAGGATGTCTGAGTTCAGAGAAATTCTTCATCTTTCCCTTGTCTAGACTCTAGACAACCAAAGCTAATAAAGATGTGTGTATGTATATATCTAGACTATATTATTTCATTAAATAAAACTCATTGACTATCATGTATAGATGAAATTCACATGTGTGTATATATATCAAAATCGCTAGCTTGGGATTACTATGTAGAATGAACTTTTAGGGCGTATTTGGTGAGTAAATTACAAATGGGTTTTGATATCAGGAGTATTTTATTCGCACTTGGGGATGTTTCGAATTTGATATCTTCTAATATCAAAATGATACAGATAGTCGAGGGAGGTATTTGATGAATTATTTGTTACTCAGTATTTCGCATTTGTGTGGGGTTCCGTCGACACTAGCAATGTCACTGCGTTTTTGGAGCACTTCCGGTGCTCATTTCAACTTTTTTTCCCTTCTTCATATTCTCGCACAATTAGTTGGTGAAGCCGAGTCAACACCATGGCTGCTCTAAGGCTCCGTTCTGTTCAACTAATTTTTTCTGATCTGATCTGATTCTAAGAATTTCTGATCTGATCTGGTCTGATCTGATCTGATCTGATCTGATTGGATCTGATCTGATCTGATATGATCTGATTGGATCTGATCTTATCTGATCTAATTGGATCTGATCTGATCTGATTAAATCTGATCTGATCTGATCAGATCCGATCTGATCTGATTAATTACGATTTAATTTAAAATTTCAAATCAATATTTTAATTTGACTTTATAATAACGTTTGAAAATTGTAATGACAATTCATATTATAATATAATCAATATTTTTTATTTAATGATTATTTTTTAATAAAATAAAAATAGTTAATTCATATATTAGAATAATCATTCATATTATAATGTAATAATATTTTTTATTTTATGATTATATTTTTGTAATAAAAATATATTTTAAAAGTAGAATTAGATTGACATTGTCAATGTATTTTAAAACTAATTTTTCCGACATCTAATAATTAAGGATTACTTTCTCAGTTTTATATTTAACCTATTTCTAAAGTTAATTCTTTTTCATTTTTAAGAACAATACTAATGATGATGATGATGATGATGATCATAATAATAATAATAATAATAATAATAATAATAATAATAATAATAATAATAATAATAATAATAATTCGTGATGGGATCTGATTTTAATAAGTCCTGGTCTGATCTGATCTGATTGGATCTGATCTGATCTGATTGGATCTGATCTGATCTGATTCGATCTGATCTGATCTGATTTTAACAAGAATAAGAAAAAATAAGTTGAACGGAACGTGGCCTTAGACAATTAGGGCAATCCTATTGTTCATTCTCGTGACAATGTATTAATTAATGTATATTATTATTTCATAGTATTTTTAAATATTTTCTGTTTAAATTATTGACACTGTAATTTTTTTATGATAACAAAAGAATGGAACCTTGAGTTTTCCTTAATCTGGAAAAAGAAGATGAGACCTATCGCATGTTAGTGACAAAAAGTGTAGCCTGCACCTGGTATATATTTTGATAACTAAGAGGAGGTAATTTAGACTTGGATCACCAGTTATTGACAAAAAGTGTAGCCCGCACTTGGTATTTGCAAAAGTCCTATACTTGACATAATTACCTCCCAACGCAGTTGTCAGAAATCAAACTCAATTTTTATTCTCTTGATACTCATTGCCTTTTCAACACCTACTGGCTTCTTAAATTTGAAATGACGAGAGTAATGGAGTGGCCACTATGTGGTTTTGTTCTCTTCAATTTATTTATTACTTACGGAGTATTATATATTCTTATTAAAATCAATATAATCTAATCATAAACAAATGATTATATACCCCGAGTATTTTTTTTGAAGGCAATCAAATTTCATTATTATTCCAATAAATGAGAAATACAATCCGGGGGAGATGTATTCCACGTAGAAGATTGAGTTATCGCACTACGAGCAAGTGTATGAGCGATACCATTATCTTCCCGAGGAATATGAGCAACCAATGCCGAATTAAACTGAGCTAAAAGAGCCTTACAGCCTTTTATTATAGTTCCAAGATAAGAAAAAACCTGGATGTTTCTTTCACAAAGAGCTTCCGCAACCCATCTGCAATCCGTAAGGAGCTCCATGTCTTGGATCTCGTTAGCTCTAGCCCAGGTAAGAGCTTCTCTACATGCCATAGCCTCTGCCATCACCGGTTCTAAAGGACATTGCATCATTCTATTTATAGCAGCATAGAAGGAACCTCCTGGATCAAAGATGACGCTCCCAAAAGCGACCTCTTTAGAGGAAGGGAATATGGCTGCATCCACAAAACAATGAAAGACTCTATGCTCTGATCTCGGGGACACTTGCATCGACTCCTGTCTTCCACTTTGACCAGTTTTGTTTGGCGGATCTAGTAAAGCTTCTCTGACCCAGCTTACCACAGATTGCGGTGAAGGGATGTAATGATCCCAAACCGCCTTGTTTCTGGCTCTCCAAATTGCCCATATAACTCCGGCTACCAACTTAAGTTCCTTAACATAAAGCTTTGAAAATTGGTATTCCATCCATTCAACCAATGATTCTGTCTGTACAAGATGACAGGACCATCCCAATAAGTTCCAGACTCCAATAGCCAAAGGACATTGAAGAAATATATGATCAATGGTTTCTGCAGCACCGCCACAAACTGGACATTCAATCTCGATATCCACGCCTTTCGTAATCAACGCCACCTTGACCAGAAGGATATTTCTAATTGTACGCCAAAGGCAGATTCTAATTTTAGGAGCAATTGGGATCTGCCAGATCTGACCCCATCGAGAGAAACCAGGAGTTGATGTAGCTTCGCCAACCAATCGACGATAAGCCTCTTTGACGGAGTACTCCCCATGCGTCTCTCGTGCCCAATACCATTTGTCCTCACTATCTAGTTGAAGTGGCACCCTACTGATCTGGTCCACATCTCTAGGGCAAAATAAACTTTGCACAACCTCTAAATTCCATCCACCTGCATCATGATTCAACAAGAAACAAACAGGAAGATTAGGCATAAAAGGAGGTCGGGTAGTAAGAACAAAAGAAGAGATTAGAAAGTTGTTTTTGAGAGTATTTTTTTTAGGAAAGAGAGACTACTAATTGTTTAAATATTGTGTTGTACTCCAATTACCACTACATCTCTACCATACAATCTCAAGTATGAATAAAAAGATTAAAAAGTGAATAAATATTAAAGAGGGATGGTAGGGGTACACTAAATGTGTACCATAAATATACACCATGCATTTTGTTACCAGGCATATTTATTTATTTTTTCTTTTTTCTTTTACATGCATAAGTGTGTGGTGTTAAAGTACTAAGGGTATACTTTTGGTGTACCTCTAGGGTTTTAATATTAAATGGTGAGAATTGGTGGTGTACAAAGAGAGTAGACCAAATGGTGTACCTCTAATAAAGTTAAATATGTTTTTAATCTCTATAAAATAAGAGATTTTTGTTTCTTGTACTTGTAAAATATTTTTAGTTAAAATCATCCTTACAAAATTTTTTATTTTGAAAATGGTCCTTATAAGTAATTAAGACTTTTAATTTGTTGATATAGCATATTTATTTGGTACTCAACATCTAAGTTTTGCAATTCTAATTACTTCAGACTCAATTCTCATGGTCTAAATTGTGTCACATTTATCAAACTACATCTTTAATTCTCAATTTTTTATTCATTTATATTTCTAAGAAATTTGGAAATTAGAGATCTAATATGAATTAGTACAAATTTGGAGCTTGGAAATTACGTCAGACATAATTAGAAAATACAAGACTAAGATGTTGAGTTTGAAATAAATTAAATGTGATATCCCATATTAATAGAAGTGCTAATTACGTATAAGAACTATTTTCGAAATAAAATTTTTTGTAAGAATGAAAATACATTTAACCCATTTTAATATTAGGGTGCGTTTATATCTAATCACATTTTGGCTAAATCCACTCTATTTATGTTAAATTGACAATTTACCATAAAAATATATTGTACAAAATAAAACTTTTTAAGGTAAAACTGTCGACTTGGGACCGGTATTTTTTTGGTTGAAAAAGCTAACTTTCCAGTTTCTCCCAATTCTTCTAAATTTGCTTCTAGTTTTTCTTCACATTTCATCTAACTCTTTATAGTTTTTATCCAAAATTAGTTTCCTTTCATAATTATATGGGAAATCATTTAATTTAATGATTTTTTAACACTTCATTTATTTCAACATTTTCTAACTCTTTCAAGATTATTCCAATTTTTTTTGCCTTTTTCTAACATCCAGCTTTAGAATTCCAACCAAAAGGAACAAATTCTTCATATAAACCAAGTGAATTTTACAAAACAAAGTGCGGATTTTTCCACACCCTTAATAGTATTGTGAAAAGTTAAATTCAATTGGACGGATTAGCTTTTTTCCATAGTTGTGACCAGTTTTTACGAAAAAAAGAATAGTGCGTTGATCATTTATTTATTTTTTTTTGTACATTTTTCTTCCCATTTTAAACTTTGAGTATGGTGTTTGGTAATTCTTTCCAATAAGGTTGGGGGAGGTGAAACCGTGGTGACAAGCCTCAAACCATGGAAGTTCGAACAGTCCGTGAAGAGAGACAGCTCATGCTTCAACTGGTTTTTGCACGATAACGTAGACGGGAGGGAAGTCTTCTCGTCGAAGCCATCGAAGCTCGCGATGATGAACCCGAGGGCTTGGTTCAAAAACCGCTACTCGAACGCTCACCGGCCCTTCACGAGGCAGGGAGGGGTGGTGTTTGCGGGTGACGAGTACGGGGAGAAGGTGGTGTGGAAGGTGGAGAAGAGTGCCATGGGGAAGACTATGGAGTGGGAGCTGAGGGGATGGATTTGGCTAACTTATTGGCCTAATAAACAAATGACATTTTACAGTGAGAGCAGGATGTCTGAGTTCAGAGAAATTCTTCATCTTTCCCTTGTCTAGACAACCAAAGCTAATAAAGATGTGTGTATGTATGTAAATATATCGCGATTATATTATTTCACTAAATAAAACTCATTGACTATCATGTACAAATGAAATCCACATGTGTGTATATGTATCCAAATTGCTAGCTTGTGATTACTATGATGAATGAACTTTTAGGCGTATTTGGTAAGTAAAATACATATAAGTTTTGATATTTTTTGATATCAAAAATATTTTGTTCGTACTTGATGATGTATAAAAATGTTTCGAGTTTGATATCTGCTAATATCAAAATGATACAGATAGTCGATGATGGTATTTGATTAATTATTTATTAGTTAATACTCCCTCTGTCCACCATAGATCTTACCAATAGCCCTTTTTCTTTGTCCACAATAGATCTTCTCATTTCATTTTTTAACAAGTAAAATACCACAACTACCCCCACTTACTTTATTTATTACACTTCACCCACATCATTTAATACACTCCACCCATTTTTCATTAAGGGTATTATGGTAAACTTTCACCTTTTTTCAACTCTCCTTAAAAACCACCAAAAGTCAAAATGAGAACATCTTAGGTATAATATTCACCGAGTATTCAATATTTATTATAATTTTGTTTTTATAGGTTAGCAAGATTATAAGCTCCTTCAAAGTTAATTTTTGATTCTTTACCTTGATGCATTTGTTGAACCAGCAGACTTAGTATTAGGATTTTGTAGTGTCGTTAGGATTAAAGTTCAATTACAAATAGAGATGTAACCTCCCATCGATATGATAATATAAATCAAGAATTCTCTCTTCTCTTTCACTCTTTCTCTTGTAGCTCAGAAACGCTCAAAGTTTTTCATCATGAAGTTTGAAGACGCTCGAAGTTCTTCATATCCTGATACATCTAACATATCAAAGTGCTTTCATTGAGAGGACTCGTCAAAAATTGCTTCATTTCAACATTTTGTCCCTTCTTCTTATTGTCGCACGATCGGTTGGTGACGTCGAGTCAACACCATGGCTGCTCTTAGACAATTAGTCATTGTTTAAGTAATGACCTTAGACATTATTTAAACTAAATATCTATGGACAATATTTTTAATCAATAAAAATTATTTAAATACTATTTAAGAAATAAAAAAGTTTAATTATTACTCCCTCCATCCTGGAAAATATGGGAGTTTTGATTTTGAAGAGGGATTTAATGGAAATGTATTTTGATATTGAATTTCTAAAAATGTCCTTTGATGTGATGAGTAAAAGTATGATTTGATGGATAGATTATTAGTAAAAAGGTATGATGTGATAGGTGAAGTATGAAAAAGTAAGAAGAAAAAAGTGACTAATTAAATGCGAAATAGTTTTTGGGACGGACGAAAAAAAGAATATAGGAAGGTTTTGAATAAGGACGGAGGGAGTATATTGAGAAATGAACCTCACTATCCTAATCAATACACACTCCTTTCCAGTTTGCCCTTAGTCGCTCTCTGTCTGCGGCGAGCCGACGATCAACGACCTCTGCCTTCCCGGCAATCCGACGGGCGACGACCTATGCATTTGCGACCTCTGCCTTCCCTTAGAGCCACCGACCAACTCTTCAAAGTCCGACGCGGCGACGCCTTCAGCGACCACCGACCAACTCCTCAAAACCCGACCAACCGGTATCATCCGATTGATGTTTCTTCTCGGTTTTTACTTACTACGGAAGTAATAGAATACTATCTGGAATTTCAATTGTTTAATTCCTTTCGTATTGTTTTAAAATTTTATTCTTAACCCTAATATAGTAATCAAATTGGGCATTGCAATTGTTTATTTCATTTCTTTCAACTTTTTGCTAATTAAATCCTTCATACTTCAGCTCCTATTTCTTTTTATTTTTCTCATAAATATTCTTTAATATTTTCCCACAAACAGTAGTAGTTTTGCCTTATTATTTTTCAATATTATTAGTTGTAAATTAAGATGTATTTTTCAAGGGCAAGCCATATAATTAAAGTCAATATGACGTGATAGTGTTTAGCTTTAACATTTTCAAAGTTTATTTGCACTATTAAATAATTATCTAAAATGCTAGCACTAATTATAAATATTGTTTCCAAACAAGGCCTGACTATGTAACATCTGTATCGTGTTTTCCTAGCAGGGGTGATGGGAATTAACTGAGTATTATTTTAAAGAAGTTTAGTTATTAAAACCTTTCCTAAAACATTGGGCCCTTTAAAGTTTTTGATTTATGCGGTTGGGGGTCTCTTAGACCATACTTTGTGTGGGATTCTCTTAGGTTTTGTTGTGGCTATTGCGTTAGGGACCTTGTACTCATAGAGTGTCAAAACTGGAATTCACAAACTCTTTTTACCTCGAATTCGAAATATATGCCAGTAAACCATTTGTTTTTGTTTTTTTGGAAAAAATCTATTTATTCAAAAAAACTCTCAGGACTCTTTTGTCCTACTTTTACATAGGCCTATTTGTAAGTGTGTGATATCAGTTTTGGGCATTTATCAATTGTAGGCCTCCTTTAGTAAAATCTCTTACACTATGTTTGGTCCAAAGAATTTGAAAGGGAAAAGAAAAAAAATTGATGGGGAAAACAGTCATGGATTATGCTATGTGTACCCCAAGATTTATACCCCAATTTGGTTAGAGAGAAAAAAAGTGGAAGGAAAAGTGAATGAGAAGACAAATTGTTCTAAAAGGAGGGTGGAAGGAAAAGAAATTGAGAAAACAAATGCCGACCCTATTTCTTACCACGCTTGATGCACTCAACTGCGGACCTGAGCGCTAATGACAAGCTTGATCTTTTTATTTCAAGTTGTTACATGTTTATAATTTCATCTCTTCAAAATATTGATAATCATTTAATATGAGTTCCACTTTTTTTCCTAGTAAATGAAATGGTTTTTCCACCGTCGATGAGGCCTTAAATATGTAAAGCTAATAAAAGTGCTTTGATTTTTAGTATTTTGTTAAGAAGATCTTTATTCTAACAGTTGAATTGCACAATAGTAATTGTAAATGAAAGAAAAACTAACTGAAGAGATGAGCAATATGTGTAGCTATGCAAACGGCAGGCATATGTCTAATACTTAGGTGCATTGTAATCAGATTATCCTTTAAAGTCATGTTATTCCAAATGATTTTCAGAAGAATGGGCTGGTTTGCAGGAAAGGGCGGCTTTGCAGGACAATAAACCTTATGGGTCTAATTCTTTTATTCATATAATGGTAGATTAACGAGTAATTATCACCAATGGCGAGTAAATAATGTGTGCCAGATGATGTTTGGGACATTGCGCAAGGGCTTTGAGAAAACTGTGAGAACACATTGTATTACATCCCATCTGATGGCAGACTCTCGTTCAGTCTCTTTCTTTTACCCTTTATTATTTTTTTCCTCCTATGTTTCCATGTTATTCTCTTGGTATCTTTTGATGAAAATAAAACTTCTTAGGTCCCCAATCGGATGTCCTGTTGTTCTTGGGTGACATTATTTTCAATTCAATTTCTTTAAATATTAGGGTAAAATTTAAAAATAGAATTTATATATTTAGAAATTCAATCTCTCTTTCTCTCTCTCCCTCCCTTGCTTCCATGTCTTTCTCTATGTATATTTTGATGATGAAATTCATAACAACACAGTTCGATCCCACGCGAGTAGGGTCTGGGGAGGGTGTGTACGCAGACCTTGCCCCTACTCGAAAGTAGAGGATGAAATTTATAGTTGCTATTTATTTATTTATTAGATTGGATTACTACAAACGTTTAGGTATGCTATCGCTTATTAGGGGTGATATCTTATGTGGTTATCTGAGTCATGTTGCCATAGTGGTGAAAGGCACTGGCACATGGTAAATCCCATCATAGATGTTGAGTCAAGCAATGAATGTAGGTGCTCGTTAGTGCTTTATCAGCAGGATTGAAGTCTTGTTTTCCAAAATTATTTACCTGGGGAAGTGGAAGGTTTGCAGGATCGTAGGCCGTATGAATCTTGTTCTATTATTCCTATAATGGTATATTCACTAGAAATCCATGCCAACTGTTAGTAATTAAGTATGACCTGCCAGATGATGTTTGGGACATTGCGCAAGGTCTTTGAGTCTCCAGAAGTGGAAACTGTGAAAAAACATTACAGTATATCACATCCCATCTGATGGCACACCCTCGTTCCATCACTTTCTGTTAGCTTTCGTTCTCTCTCTCTCTCTTGCTTCCATATCTTTCTCTGTGTATGTTTTGATGAAATTTATAACCCAGTTTGATCCCACACGAGTAGGGTTTGAGGAGGGTGTGTGTACACAGACCTTGCCCCTGCTCAAAAGTGTGGAGGATGAAATTGAAATTTATAGTTTCTATTTATTTATTTGTTTATTTAGATGCTTGGTGCTATATTTGTGTTTTTATTAGTGCTTCTTTGCTTTCTGTGTCCCTTGTGATCTTCTATTTGTGCAACTGAGCTGGGGGTCTCTTGGAAACAGCTTCTCTAGGGGCAAGGTTTGCATACACACACCCTCCCCTGACCCTACTTGTGTGAGATCCAACTGCCAGATGATGTCTGGGACATTGCGCAAGGGCTTTGAGTCTCCTCTTATCATTTGGGTAGTGGAAACTGTGAGAAAACATTATATCACATCCCATCTGATGGCAGACTCTTGTTCCATCACTTTCCATTACCTTTTGTAATTGTTATCCTTCTTTCTCTCTCTCACACACACACTCTCTCTCTATCTCTCTCCCTTGTTTCCATGTCTTTCTCTATATATCTTTCTTGAAATTTATAGTTGCTATGTATTTATTTATTTATTTATTTATTTATTTATTTATTTATTTATTTATTTATTATTGCAAACGGAAAGGTTTAGTAATAGAGGAGTTAAGCAATGTTTAGCTATGTATAAGGTTATGCAAAAGATACGCTTTTTCTATATTCTAATGCTTAGGTGCATTGAAACCCGATAATCCTTCGAAGACTTGCTATCCAAAATGACTTTCCCTGAGAAAGTGGGAGGCTTTGAAGGATCGTAAACCTTACGGAACGGATTTATTATCCTTATAACGATAGACAGATGGGTTTACAAGAAATGCATGCCAATGGTTAGTAACACCTGCCAGATGATGTTTAGGACATTTGTCAAGGCCTCAAGGGCTTATGACTAGCCAGACATAACTTCCCTAACCCAAACCCCATACCCCCCTCTCTTTCTCTCTGGATATATCAATACATAATCTGAAAAATAAGTGTGAGGATTGGTGAAGATTACAAAGAGAGACATATATTAGTTATTGCTTGGCTGTTAATGTTTTTAAAATGGGAACTGGATAATCTCTTGAACGATAGGGAGGAACTAAAATTGGTTGCTAATTTTGAGAATACGAAGGTCTTTGTTTTTTTCCAGGGCACATCAAATGAAACATATCGTGAAAATATTTACAATTTTGGTGGCTGTATCTGCCCTTTGGACGTGGTTGCTAAAGACGGCTGTTTTACCAGAAAGTTATACTTGGTTGGTAAGAATAGTTTCCTCTTCTTGCTCACCACTTTAGTCTAATCTTTATAATCCAAAGACCTAAGTTGGGTTATTGTTTTACTTCTTTGCCAGCTCCCAATCTACTTCGTCGTGTCGCTAGGGTGTTATGGACTAGTAATGGTTGGAGTAGGCCTGATGCAGTTCCCTACTTGTCCCCAAGAGGCAGTTCTTTTACAGCAGGTAAGTGTTTACGTTCGTTTACCTCTTTTTTTTCCGGAGGGGTTAGGGCCCGTTCTCTTCGTATGATCAAATAATGCTTTCGTTTTAAAGGAACGAGTGTCTCAGAACGATATGGAATGCTAGTATAGATTTAGACATGTGGTGTGATATATTGAAACAAAAGTGATTTATTTGTACAAATAAGGTGGAAGGAACATAATCTATCATTTCTTTCTTTCTTTTTAAAAACCAAATTTTCCAATAGGCCTCCAAATCCTGTAACCAACGCAGGTTTTTTGTCATTTGTGCCCAACATATATAGCAATTTGTTTCTTTCTTTCTTTGAGTTGGTCATATGCAATGTGGATATACAACAACAACATTACCCCAGTGCCTCAACGGTTCCCGCCCATTGCGGGGTTGGGGGGGGGGGTCAGATGTACGGAGTCTGACCCTATGTTTAAAACATAGAGTGCCTGTTTCTAGATGACCCATGATGAGCGTTGAAAGTTGCATTGACCAAATGCTACTCCACAATTGCAAGAAGCGCAGATTGTTTAGTGAGCCAATTTGCTTTATCCCATCATATCCCAGAGCCAAAAATAGCGAATCTTTGGCTCCACATGGGAATGGAATTATATACAATGTGGATATATACATACTAATCTTGCAGCCATGTCTTGTAGGACATTCTTGAAGCCCAGACCTTCCTGAAGACAAGAGGAGTTGATGTTGGTTGATCCATGGATGGTAAATGCCCAAAATTTTTTCTTCTTTCATCTTATATGAATGAGAGTTTGCTTTAACTTGTTGGTTTTGACATCTTTCCCCTATCTTGCACAATGTTTGTCTCTCATATGAGAGATTTCAGTAAAATTCATGAATAACTTTCTTGATTAAAACACCACTGGCTTCCATACTTTTCTAATTGTATCATCTTTCTCTTACACATCAGTGTTACTTTAAATTTCGGTCATACATTCTTACGAGTGAAGGGATGTACACATGTCAATTTGCCAACTTACTACAATTATTTTTTGATAATTAATTTTTAAATTAACTTTGAAAAATATCTAAATGGTAATGAGACTTGCAACGTTACGACAATTCATCATAAATCCGTTATCGTCTTCAGAGCTTAAAGAACATGACGAGAGTTGAAAAAATATTCATTTAATTTTTTTTAGAGAGAAAATTAGATTGTTTGAAACCTGAGGTTTAAAATGGGTGTGAAGGAGATATATCTTGTGTTTGTATGTATAAGTTGCAACTATTAATGTAAAATATTTTATTATAAATATTAGTAGTAATAAATTTTGAAATTGCATAGATAAAGAGAAGGAAGAGATATGCAATATGTGCGGTAAGCGCATACATGATAAAGCTACTTATCAATTTCTTTTTTGGTACCGAGAGTGAAAGCAATATTACCCTTTATACCCAGGAAACTGCACCTGGGTACTCCTCATTTTGAGAAATTAATTGTTGGGTATTTCATATGAGTCCGGTTCCATGGCCACGGAAGCCACTTTCCCCTAGGAGTTCCGTTCATAAAATTGATGATTCCTATTCTCTCTAACCCTCCCGGTAAACCCCCTGCCAAGTCTCGACCCAAATTAATCACCCCACTTATGTCAATTGCATTAAATTTTACTAATTCTGAATTTAATATCAACCCCCAAAATAAAAAAATAAAAATAATTGAACAAGAAATAATAATAATAATAATAATAATAATAATAATAATAATAATAATAATAATAATCAATTTCCTCATTTTCTTGATATCAATTTCCTAATTTTCTTCTTTATCTTGATCTTAGTTAATTTGTGTGTGATTTAAGAACTTAATAATAATAGTATCGCAAGAAATGATGATGATGATGATGATGATGATAATAATAATAATAATAAAAAATGGTTGGAGTCAATTTAATAGGAGTCATTATTGTTGGAGAAAAACAATTATTAAACTGGACGTTCCATATATACTAATATTACTATATGAGAAAATGTCTCTGAATACTAAATTATTATTAATAATATTTTTTTTTGCGTTACATGTAATTAAATCAATCAATTGGTCATCAGCGCATGCTGCTCTCACACACCAAAACGTATAACAATTCGTGTATTCAAAATTGGACAGAAATTAAAAATCAATTAAACCACGACTCATGTATAGGCTCGATCGTACCCGACCGAGCCATACAAAAGGGAAAAAAAAATGTGGCATGACTAAATCAAGAGGCGGTAAAATAGAAGCGGTCACTGTTCAAAGTGAACGGGAACGGGTTGGTTGTTGCGAGGTCAACGACCGACTTGAGCTCATCCCACTTCTGGTCAGTGAATAGGTATTGTCGTTCGTCCACGTTCGTATTAATATTATTATTATTACTCTCGTAATAATAATTATTGGTCGGGGAAGACGAGGACGACGACAAAAGGCTTGTCATGGAAGGGCAGTAGTAAGAAGGTTGTGAGGGCAAAATGGGAACATTCTCCAGCTGCTGGCCTGAACTGTTGGTTAGGAAGAACTGTTGCAGGCTTCTTTTCTCCTCTTGTGCTGATATTGTTAAAAAGGATTCACTATTGCTATTATTGTTATGGTTCTTTTTTGCCCTTTTTGGCTCTTGATTTGTAGTACTAGTAGTGTTGCATCTCTTGTAGGTTGTGTTCCTCTTGAAAACCCTACACAATGTCCATATCTCCTGAAATTTATCATAAAATAATAATGGTGTCACAATTTTGTTCGCCAAGAAATCACAAGTTTGAACGTCCCTCTAAAATATTTCGGCTTAAGATTTTACACCCTTCATCCCAAAAATTTTTTAACCATTTTTTTCTTTTTAAACGTCCCTCTAAAATATTTCACATTTAGGTTTTGTTTTGTACACGGAATTCAAACTATGAAATTAAAATTGAGGATAACAATTCCAATTCTACTGTTTCGTAGCACAAAAATATGTGGATTTGAACTTGGTAGTGCCAAAAATGAATTGGAATGGGAGAATTAGATTCCATCCAAATTAATTTCATAGACTTTCATTTTCCATTTCCAATTCTGTCAATTCCATATACCAAACGGACCATTAATGTATTTCCTTTTTTAAAAATAGGACTATTGTGCTGTGACAAAGTCATTGCATGTATATTGAGATTTCAAACTATTTTATGACTTAAACTATTTTATTCTCTAAATATGACTTAATAATGTCTAGTGAGAGAAATAGGGTACAGTGATGCTGGATATTTACTTGAATGATGGCCAATCGTTCTACATTGGAAAACAAAAACATATGGTTCTAATTAAATTGAGAAGATCATTATATTTTAGTTCTATTTAGGTAAATTCCTCATTATATATTCGTATTATTGGCATTATATATAGGTCATATTTTGGCGATAAAACACCAAAGTCGTATTTTGGTTCTATCCCATATGTTATACTTCTATTTTAGTAGTTTTTCTTATATATTTTCAACATTTTTCTTAAATGCCGTGAAATTTAAACAAATAAAGCTTCATTTAGAACGAACACATATTGATAAAAAGATTAATTACTTACGGCTTGATCTTGAGCAAATTTTTTATTTGATGAGGCGGGTAGAGGCGGAGGAGCAAGGCGGAACTCATGCATCATCCAATCAGTTTTGATCCCTTTCCCGGCGTTCCCCCGGTAGAAAACCAACGACTTCTTGAGGCCGATGGGGGTTTCCCCGGGAGGCGCGTAGACCGGTTTGTCAATGCCGGTCGCCTTCCAGAACCCGGAACTGGTTACCCGATTCGGCCTCACGCTATTCTTGTACTTCCTCCCTCTTATACAAAAGAAATACCATTCTTTGACGTTGTCTCCCGCCGATGTGCTCGTAGTCCCTTTTGAACGTCAATTAATACATTAGTAATGCATTGTAATAGAGTCAATAATACTAATTAAAAATACAATCATATTAGTACGATGATTGCACCTCCCAAATTTGATGGGACATATATGAAGAATTGTTAACTAAAAAATAGGGCACACATGCACTCCTTTTGGTTGCATTATATTTCTCATTCATAATACTCCCTCCATTTCTTAAAATGGTTTCTATTTTATTCTTTTTCGTTTTCTTTAAAACACTTCTATTTTTGTAAAAAATTACTAATATATCTAAACTAAGTCGTTGCAGTATGCTCCATTCAATTTGCAATGATATAATAAGTCATTTAAATGATTTGTCTCTCTCTTTTTTTTCTGGCGACAACGATATAATTAAAATGTCAAACTATGAAAATAAATCCCCTCCAAGTCAAAACGAGAATCATTTTAAGAAACGGAAGGAGTATTTCCTTGTGTATGAGTCATATACTTCCTCCGTCCCGTGAAACATTTCCCCTTTCTTTTTTTATCCGTCCCACAAAACACTTCTCATTTCTATTAAAAAGTCACTTTTACCCCTTACTTTTTCATACCCTAACTATTACATCATACCTTTTTACTAATAATCTATCCATCAAATCATACTTTTACCCATCACATCAAAGGACATTTTTGGAAATTCAATACCAAAATACACTCCCTTAAATCCCTCCTAAAAAGCAAATGTCCCATGTTTCACGGGACGGAGGGAGTATTTTAAAATTCATATTTAATTTTAAGAAGCTGAAATATTAAAACTAAGAGTGCTTCTTTGTTGCCCAATTTTGTGGACCTTCTCACATATTTCTTTTAATTTTTTTATTTGAAAAAAAGATTTAAATAATAAAGAAATACTTATTTTGCTCGTATGTAGGTCCATGGTGAACATTATTTAAACTAACTATCTTTTTTCAAAAAGAAAAAGAAAGTAAGGAAAAAAACAATCAATCACGCTTTTAGATTGCTGGAAATCAACTTTCCCCCGTTAATTTTGCTTAGTTTTTCCAAACAATGATCATTGGTAGAAGAATTTAGAATATTTAGTGGTTGACTAGATGAGATAATCATTATTTGCAAATTAAACATCTCAATATTTGATTATTTTATAGCTAAAAAATGTGACTTTATTTTAATGAGTATGACAAATAATTATCACCCATTATTATGCTACTCAACGTACTTTATTATATAATTATTCAGGCAAATTTTATAGACTCGAACTAAATATAAAAAGATTACAAACTCTATACATCATCATTTCCTTTGGCTTGTAATAATTAAGTCAATGTTCAAACATTAAGACGCCAGATAAGCATGTGAAAATATAAAAAAACTTCATATTATGGAATATTATACTACGGAGTAATTAAATTTTTACTAATCTGCACCATATGAGATTTTGTTAGATTTTCCTCGATATATAAACTTTAATAAATTTAATCTTTTATTATTAAGAAGAAAAGATAATTCAAGATAATAACACTTTTCTTTATGCAATGTTAAATGTTAAAATTTTCATATTGAATTTATTTATTCCATGATTAGTTCTTTATATAAATTAAAAATAAAATAAAAATAAAATAGATATTATATTCTGTATAATACAAATATATTTTTAAAAAAGAAAATATTCTTTCATCATTCTTTTGTCGTATAAACTCTCCTATAAATCTTTCAATAATAATAATTATAATAATTATAATAATTTATATTCTGCACTAAAATTTGTTAAACAAGTTATTTTATGTTGTTTCACTCTCAAAATGAAAACCTAAAAAATGTAATAAAAAAAAAAAGAGACTGATTAAGATAACAATAATAGCTAAAATACTACTCCGTATAAGATCAATTGATGATGGAGAAATAACCAACCACAATAATTCTTGTATTAATCATTTGATTAAGGTTTCGCGTAGATACTGGCCAACGATGCCACTAGCGGTGCTACTGCATTTTTAGAACACCTCCGCACACCTGCCCTCCAACCCCCCCTTCCAAATGTACGTGTGGCTAGCTATTATGCAATGCATATACAATAGCCACACATTTAGAGGGAAGTTAGAGGCGGGGGCTGTGATGGGGGCAGTGGTGGGAGGTTTAATTTAGTGCTGAGGGAGAGTTAGGTGGAGTAGGAAACAACAGTTTTGCAAACGGAACACTGGAGGCACCTCAAATACAATGACAACGTAACGTTGGCTAGTGTAAACGGAACCGTGCCCTAACCTAAGCGTTTTTTTGCTTAAACACATTGAAATTAAAGCTAAGAGTACGTTAACACAATCACTCACACATATACATTCTTTCCCATATATAGATAGATAGAAATGAGAGGATATATACACACACACACACACACACACACACACACACTCCCTCCGTCCCAAAAAGTTTGTTACGTTTAGAAAAAATCGCGTCCCGTAAAGTCCGTTACATTTCTATTAAAAAACCACTTTTACCTCTTACTTTTTCATACCCTACCTATCACATCATACCTTTTTTCTAATAATCTACCCATCACATCTTACTTTTACCCATCACATCAAGGGTATTTTTGGAAAGTCAATACCAAAATATCCCTCTCTTAATTTCCCAAAAAATCAAACCGTCTCATTCTTTTTGGGACGGAGGGAGTATATGATATGATGAATGAATGAATGAATGAATGTATAAGGTAATTAGTAGTATTAGACAAGTAATAACATAACATACTTGGAAGATCCCAAGGATCATATTTGTAGATGTCAACTTGTTTAATGATCTCAATGCTGATTGGCTTGTTTTCCACCTTCCTTGTCAGATAAAACCCTACCAGCTCTTCATCTGTAGGGTGAAATCGAAACCCTGGCAGTACTGTGCATTCTTCTTCTTCTCCTTCTTCTTTCTCCACTACTCTTTCACACTCTACTTTCTCATATGCTCCCATTCTTTTTATTTCTCTCTCTCTCTCTCTTCTTTAATTTTGTTTGGGATCGATATATAATTAATGAGTTGCAAAAGTAATTAATTAAAATAATGGACAGTTTACTACGTAATTAATTTAATGAAGAAGGTAAGATACAGTAGTATTATGCTTATATAGGGCTGATAGGATGAACCACGGCCGGCCTTGGTGGGTGCCCACCTTTTCAATACTCCCTTTCTTTTTTCCAATTTTCCATACCGGACAATGTATCCTTCCTCCTTCATTTTTTTTTGTTTTTTCTTAAAACAGTTCTCATATCTATTAAAAAACCACTTTTACCCATACTTTTTCATACCTTACCTATCACATCATACTTTTTCACTAACAACTAAACTATCACATCTTACTTTTACCCATCACATCAGGGGCAAAATTGGAAAGTCAACTAAAATTACACTTTCCTTATTTTTTTCTCCAAAGTCAAAAGAGGAACCGTTTTGAGAAACAGAGTGAGTATTTCACAATGTTTTTTGGCAGTTACATTCTTACGTGGTCTTAATGCTCATGATCATTTTATGGACCAGCTCAATATATTGATACCATAAAAGAATTGGGCTTTAAAAATGCCCATTTGCAAACCCAGGAAAAGTATTAGAGGGCTCATATTTTACATGTGGACTTAAGACCATGGAAGAACTACTTTTTTTAAAGGCACGCCTTTAAAATGAGTAATTTTGGTGTTACTCCCTCCGTCCTAAAACTTTTTTCTCAGAGCACTATTCCAACTTCACGGAATTTATATTTATTTGTGTTTTTTTCATGGCCTATATGATAAAATAAAATATTCTTGTCACCACTTGTTTTGTTGAACTTTTGATGTAGTTTTAAATATGTATGTTTTATTTTTTATTTCTATACCAATACTTAAATAAAATAGATTGAAAAAACTTGGGATTTTTTCTTCATTTTGCGCAATGGGAAGAAAGTTTTAGAACGGAGGGAGTATTTTTTAATTATGATTTATCTATCGTACACATCTTACTCTATTATAACATAAGGAAAAATTAGAAAATAATATCAAAATTACTCATATTAAGGGTGCACATTTTTCCAAATAGAAAGTGTTTAATGAGACAGAGGCAGGGGCAGACCCAGAACATGTTAACCATGTAGTCGCATTTTAGAAATTTCATATCAAATCATCACATTTCTAACATTAAATAAAAAATATTTCATAATATATAACATTAAAGCTGACATTTACCATAAGAATCACAAATTAATAATAATTACAAATATAAAAATACATCTTACAATTGATAAATTCTATTTTTCATATTCCGGAAGTAATTTATTATGATACCTTTGCCTCCTATATTGAAATTCAAATATTTAAAAACATTATAAATTTATAACAAAACCCAAACATTTTAACATATTCCCAATCTTACAGAATATAAATCTAATTCACAAAGTACAAATTGGAAGAATAAAATTTAAAAATTCATAATTCACAAATATCAAATCTAAATATTCAATTCACATTCAATTGTATTTAAAAAAACTACTTCTTGAAAAGTGAAAAACACAAAAAAACAAGCCTTAATGTGGGGATTCCAAAAAAAAACAAAATGAAAAACGCTCCTAGGGCCTGGCAGTTTAGAACACAAGACATCCCCGGAAAATGAGGGCGCGGTCGTCCAACGATTACAATAATGCGTTTCCGGGATATATAGTACTTCTCGAAAGAGTTCCTCTTTTGACTTTGGGGGAAAATAAGGAGGTGTTAAATTGTAGTTGACTTTCCAATTTTGCCCTTGATGTGATGAGTAAAAGTAAGATGTGATAGTTTAGTTGTTAGTGAAAAAAGTATGATGTGATATGTAGGGTATGAAAAAGTAGGGATAAAAGTGGTTTTTTAATAGAAAGGGGAAGTGTTTTAAGAAAAACAAAAAAAATGAAAGAGGAAGGGTTTTAAGAAACGGAGGGAGTAATACTAAGTACATATACCTATAGGTATATACTCCCTCCGTTTGCAAAAAAACTTTCTAGTTTGACTAGGAGGCAAAATAAAGAATTGTTAAATTATAGTTGACTTTCAATTTTGTCCCTGATGTGATGGGTAAAAGTAAGATGTGATGGATAGATTATTAAAGAAAAAGTAAGGGTAAAAATGGTTTTTTAATAAAAAGTGAAAGTGTTTTATTGGAAGTGAAAAAAATGAAAGAAGAAATGTTTTTGAGAACGGAAGGAGTATAAAACTACAAAATTGGGCGCATCTAATTACGCATATACCTTTCAGCCCGGATGCGTTCAACCCACTCTTGGCTTCGCTCCTCGGGTATGGGCCTTGGTGCCATGTTGATTGATTAGGATAAATATTTGGCTAATCACATTAATTAATAATTATACCTTGGCCCAATATATCAATAACCCTGATGTTTGTTTTTGTTTTATGATTTTGAAACCGGAATGATCGAGCTGGGCGGTGGCTAATGTACAAATGGTGGAGGACGTCAGGGTGACGATGGATCATGAGGCTACGGTGACTGAGAACGAGATGCATGTTTGACACTCTCGCAGAACCAGATGCATGCTCCACAACCATAACAAGCACACCCATGAGAACGGAACGATGGTTAGCTGAAACCTGTGTATGGTATAGTATATCATCGTTTACACAAACGGCAGTGCAGTTCAAAGACATCGCGCTCTACTGAACAGTCAGTAAAGAAGATATACCATACAAGGAGTAGGTTCAAAAGCATAAAGCCTACATGTTCTTGTAGTTTTCAACTATAGAGTTATTGCCCAGCACATAGATCAATTTTCATTCATCTAGGGGATTGTTGGAATTTTTGGCTTATAATTTGGACAACCTCAGACATAAATTTGGTGGCGTCCATAAAATTATTTCTTCAAAATAATTTTGGATCATTAATCTCCCAAGTGAGATGAGTGTTTCGATATATTGTGCGCCAAAAATGGTGTTTAGTTCAATGAAATTAATTCACAAAGTCGAATACTTAAAAGAGTAAAACCGTACCATGTATCCCACACCCGATTAGAAACTTTCAACTTCCACTATTTATATGCTAACATTTAATTGTATTGTAAAGCAATTTGAGGAGGAAAGAAAGGACCCGTCACGCACTTCCGCTCCCGCTGTCTGTCCACCTCCGCTCGGCACGTCATGACCCGCACGCGCGAATGTGGGTTGGCGTGTGTTGGCGTGTGCGTACGCGTGATGCGTCGTAATGTGGCGAGTGTGTGTGCCAACTCTTATCTTTTTATGGGATCAATTTGAATGCGAGTGGGCACTTCGTTATTAACGAAGCGGGTTAGTCATGCATGCACCTACGAAGAGTACTATCTGCCACTACCACCGAAGAGTCTCTCGCACTCCTATATAAGGAGCATGAATCCACAATAGAGAGACACTCGAACCAAAACCTTCTTGGCATTCCCAAAGGATCCAACTCTCTCAATTTCCGATCATCTTTTCCGGCAAGTAACTATCCACCGTTCTAGTTTCCCGGTGCACAGCTCTACCGCTCTAGACTTTGCACGTAAGCAGTTTTATCTTGGGAGGATATGGTTCACGTTAGCCAGTGCGGGAGGTGGGCGATACTATCTTAAGGAAAGCTCTGGCGACTCCACGTTACTTAATTTTATTCTAGAATCCGTCGGCGTTCAACCTTCTGCAAAATCTGTTCACCCTCAATATTTCAGCAGTCTATTTTTTTCTCAATTGTAAATTCGAACGGTTTATAAGTTCATACCTTTTTATTTTCTTTTTCCGCTGTAAACTTCAATTCTTACAACACCATCCACCCCCACCTACATGCTCCGGCCCACCCCCATATGGCCATACGCTCACCGCCACCGGCACCTCATTCCACCGTCCACCCTTGTCCACCCCACCCCCTTCCCCCATGCACCCTTGCCTGCCCCAAATATGTCTATTCTTCTGAAGATTACTGTGGCGACGCATGGCTGCTTTGTCTCATGGGCAGAGGCGCTGTTTTGCAACACCCAGGGCAGCCCTATTGCGCTGTTTGTGGCAGATACCTGGGCAATATGGAAGGCTAGAAATGTAGCTTTATGGGAGAAGAAGGTACTCAGGCCGCTTGTTGTGGCGGAGTGGGCAACGGCGGCGCCACTAACCACTGCGGCAGACCCGCCCCTTGCGCCGTCCTCGCATCAGGTGGCAGTGTGGGGGGGTTTCAAATGTATGGTGGATGCCGCTCTCCACATGCGCTCACATTCAGTTGGGGTGGCAGCGGTCTTGTTGAGGGAGGATGGGTCCTTTGGGAGTGCCTTTAGTAGAATCGTTCGGTGTCCTTTTGAGGCTCGAGTTGGGGAGGTTTTCGCAATCAAGGAAACATTGTCTTGGCTCAAGGAGAGGGGTGTCACAGAGGTTGCTTTATTTTCAGATTGTTCGCTGCTCATTCAGGCCTTAAACAGGAGGCAAGCTGATGATCGGTCGTATTTGGGAGTTATTGAGAGCGAGTGTAGGCTCTTGGCCTCTTCTTTTTCACAGGTTCATTTCTGTTACTTTTCAAGGCGTTTTAATTCTATTGCGCATGTTTTGGCTAAGAACTCTGAGGACGGAGGCAACGTTTGGCCTTCCGATCCGCCTGCTTGTATTTCGCACTTAATTCGTTAATGGCATGATTTTGTTTTCCCTAAAAAAAAAATTAATTTTTAATGTATATTTTCCTTCCTATGAAATAAGAAAATTATTTTTCTGGAAGAAAAATTACTTCTTACTAAACAACAAAAAATGTGTAGAAAAAATAATTTTCTTTGTAAAATATTCCCCCCAACCAAACACAACACAAGACATACACAATTTTTAATTTTTTTATGGAACTATATTATGGTGAGGTAATAAATTCTTAGGTATAGATCAGACCTGACGCTAATCCAAACAATTCGTGCATCTTTTCTAAACAGGCACTCCGTAGCTACATTATTAACATTTTTATAATTTGAAAATAATTATTTAATGAACTTATTTTTTTTATTATTTTACTTATTTCAAAGGGATTGTCGTTATGATGATGCGCATATATATATATATATATATATATATATATATATATATTATATAATTATATATATATATATATATATATATATAGTCATAATAATAATATAATTATTATTATTATCCAAAAGAAATTTATCATTTTCATGACTGGTTAATCATTGATTACTTTGACGATGACATTTTAACAAATGAAAGTGTTCTTTAAAGTGTGCCTATTTTTACGGTATTATGTTTTGCTTTCTTCTCTAATTCCAGAAATTTGGTTTGAAAGATTTAATAGGAAATAGACAAAGTGACAATTGAAAAAAATAAATCATAATTACAATAAAAAATAGGGTAAACTGGACATTGAATTTTATTTAAATCGCGGGTTCTTGACAATTGATATTTTTTTAAGTATATATTCTTTCGAGTAAATTCCATAATTGGTCCTTTATAACAGAGGGTTTCCATATTTAGTCCTCTATTATCAAATATTACCCCCGTAGTCCTTTTTTTAAGGGTACCTTTCCACAAATGGTCCTTTTTTTGATCTTCTTCCGTGTTGATGTTAATTTAAAGGCTAAAATTATAATTTGACGTCAACATTATGTCTAGTGACGTGTTTTGATATTGGTTAAGCGGATAACACAAAAATAATGATTATGATTGTGGGCTAGGATTCTGACGAAAGATCACATTTGTAGACTATAGTTGTCGTAAAAAGCGACTGTAATTCACAAACGACGCAAACGGAACAGCCTTTGGAATTGTGTATGACAAAAAAGATATATTATCATTGTGAAATTACACTTTTAGCCCTCAAATTAACACCAACATGATAGAAGATCAAAAAAGGAATATTTATGGAAAGGTACCCATAAAAGAAGGACCACTTGGGTAATATTTGATAATAGAGGACTAAATAGGGAAACCCCCCTGTTATAAAGGACCAATTATAGAATTTACTCTATTCTTTCCGTCTCTTAAAATATTTTAACTTTCAATTCTTACATGTCTCACAAAACATTTAACTTCGTCTAAATAGACACAATTGCCCTTACTTTTCTTAAATCTAACTGAACTTACTCTAACTACCTTCTACACACATTTTGGTATTTTCTGAGCCCAAATTGTTTCAATTATCGTCGATTCGCCTTGGTCAAATTCTAATATCTTCCCCTCCCAAACGTCAAAACGGAAAAAGTTTTCCGAGACAGATGGAGTATTATTTGAACCATTTAGGCCCCGTTTGGCATCAGCGTAGCGTTACCAAACAAAGCCTTAGTCTTATCTAGGTATATATTTCCCTAAATGGTAAGTTCTACTTGGTCTGTCTCTGATTGTTTGTCCACTTTTGACTTTTGGAACTATTCATCTAAGCACTTTGACTCATCAAATTCTCTCAATGCGTAAGCCTAAAAATAGTCATGTGTGATCTTGTTTGATTCGTCTTAACATATACTCCCTCCGTCCCTAAATAAAGTTCCATTTTTGACTTTTTTAGGATTTAAGGGAGGGATATTTTGGTGTTGACTTTCCAAAAATACCCTTGATGTGATGTGTTAAAGTAAGATGTGATAGGTAGATTATTAGTAAAAAGGTATGATGTGACAGGTAAGATATGAAAAAGTAAGGGGTAAAAGAGGTTTTTTAAGAGAAAAGAGAAGTTTATTTAGGGACAAAGAAAAAACGAGAGAGGAACTTTATTTAGGGACGGAGAGAGTAGATTATTAATATATAATTTTTATAATTTTTTAATATACAAATTACAAGATAAAATGGATTAAAGAAGTGCATTGGATGATGTGCAAAAATGAAAGTGGACAAACATTCAGGAAGGGAGGGAGTAATTAATTAGTACTCCGCATATCTTTCTTTTTTTAAAAAAAAAGGATATACTAAAAAAGTAGTTTTACGTGATTATATGAAGAAATAAAGTATATAAAGTGATTTTTTTAAAAGAGTTATATAAATTGTTTTTTTAAAATTGACATGTATCTAAAAGTTGATTTTTTAAAACAAAATTTTCTATGAACAATTAAAGTGGTAGTAATAATAATAATTAGAGAAAATTGGGATATCAAAATAAACTAATAAAGTATCAATGCTAAATTGCGATTTTCATCCCATAATTAGTTGATTCCTTTGACAAAACTAATTTGTTTTTCACTTTTTGAGTGTCATCCCACATCCAAATTTCAGCCCAAGTGTCTTATTGTTCAATCCAATGATCCGTGCCTCATCATAAATTCTACGGAGTATCAATTTGATTTATGTGTCTGTGAGTTTGTGTTGGCTTGGTGTACATATGGGGTACCCCATGTTGGTGTACCCCTAGCATTGCTTTTAAAAATTACAAAACTTTTATTTATTAATACGTGTTCATTGAGTATTTGATAAAACAAAATATTCTTGTCACCTATTTTTTTTGTAGAATTTTTAATGTAGTTTTTAAAATAGGTAAATTTTACTTTTTATTTACATACCAATATTTGTAAAAGAAAGTGAAAAACCTTAAAATTTCGTTTCATTTTACATAATCTGACACCATAATAATCCCATTTTTTTGAAATTTTTATTTAAATTTTTTGAATTACTTTCAACCTCCATTTCTTTTTCTTTTTTAAAGATTATTCTTACCTTAGAAAAAAATAGATATAAAAAATAATGAAAATGAGAAAAATAACTAAAACCATACAAAATTAATCAAATAAATAATGTAATCAATATAAATTAAACAGAATCTGGTAAGAAATAAAATAAATATATATGGAGTGGTGGGTTTAACATTTTACACACTATACAGAGTATTAATGTACTACTTATTTTTTAAAAGAACAAGCCGTCCGGTAAAGTTTGAATAATTGTTGATAATTTTTTCTAAAAAAATAAGAAGTGATATGTTAATACCTTGTATAATGCGTTAAATATTAAAACCCACCCATATATTTTTATTTTACTTTTACCAATTTCAAGTTAGTTTCCATTGACTGCCTTATTTATTTTATTATTTTTGTATCATTTTAGTTACATTTCTCATTTTTTCATTTTTTATATCTATTATTTTTATTTTTTAAACTAAGACTAATCTTTAAAAAAGAAAAAAGAAATGATGATGGAGGTAGAAAGTAATTTAAAAAATTTAAATTTAAAATTTAAAAAAAATGAAAATTCATAAAAAATAATCCCAACTTTCATTTTGTTGCCTAAAACGGGCATTTCCGTTAACCTTCCGTTAGAAACTTAACGGCGACCCAAAACTGGTAAATTTCAGTAAAGTTGTGATTATTATGCATCACAGTGAAAGGTGGGATTATTTTTGAAAGACTGGATAAAGTTGGGATTATTTTGGATAATTTTTCCTTTTTTTATCAAGTGACAAATACTTAATCGAGCTCAAGAGTGTGTCCTGTGCCTCATGCAATTTTCGTGAAAAAACCTAACAAAAACAAATAACTCAAATTACCAAAAACGCTAAATTAGAAATTCTAGTTAAACGTTATTGTTAGATAATATTTTTAAAAATTAAACTTAAATACTAAGGGTCCGTTTGAAAATAACATTTTCGATCAACATTAGCGTTTTAAATAAAATATTAACGGTACAGATTAACTTTGAAAACGTTAACGCTATACATTGTGTGTAGATAATCTTTTTAAAATTATAGTATTAACTTCTGGCGTTATTTCTAAACGGGCCCTAAAATTGTTCTAAACCTAGCCATTATTACGAGTAAAAAAATGCTAGAATGTGAAATTGGATATCCCGTCTTAGGACTTTTGGTGGGTGCTATGACCAAGTCACATGTAAGACCAACAATAAAAATTTCATTTGATTATTGGTAATTAATGTTTTTAAATACACACACACACACACTCCGTATTATGTTATCAAACAAGATTAATATCAATAAATTTACTTTAAAATGTAAAATTAAAATATTATATATTTGAAAAACATATATAGAAATATTAATAATGAAAATATTGTACTGAAAACCATAAAAATTATATTAAATGCAAAGAAAAATTTAAAAGGATGGAATAGCGATGGCAAAAATGGTAAAAGAATTGTTTCACACAACTTTTGACATTAACTTAAAAGTGGATAGCTAAACTTCAAATAAAATAGAACAATTACAATACGCGGATTTAGCCGACTTTGTCAAACGCAAACCCATCAATTTATGATGATTCAGAAATTGCATCATACGCCCATGAATGAATGCTTAACGTGGACCGAAGGCCCATAAAAAATGGACATATAGAGCTTATTAACATATTGTTAAGTAATCAAATCATTGATTTACACAAAAAAATTATGATACAATAGAGTGCATATAAAAGGTATTTCTAACACAAATTGAAATCAACTTTATAATAAAATATGACTAATAAATAAACACAATGGCCATAATTAATAATAGCATCAGAAAATGTATGATCACTTCAAGCTGATCACTATGAAACGAGAAGAAGTTTGAAAACAAGGTCCCTAAACTGCGAAGAAGGAAATGCCTTCGTGAGGAGATCGGCAAGCTGGCTAGCTGAGAAGAGACGAGAAACAGACATACTTTTAGCAATAACATGTTCTCGAATGAAATGACAATCTGTGCCAACATGTTTCATGCATGCGTTTGTGAAAAACTAGATTCGTGGTGCTAACTATCGCAAAAAAGGTGTTGATGAGGCATCTGAACCTTTAAGTTTGTCTATAGATAAGAGAGCCACATTACCTTTGTTGCCACAGAGCAGATAGAGAGATAGGTACTTTGCCTCTGTGGATTGTTTGCAGACAGGACTCTATTTTTTTGAATTCAATGAGATAAAATTAGGACCAAGCTAAAATTAGGACCAAGACACGATCTGGGTCGGCTAAGATGGGGGCTGGAGGACTCGGGTCGGTGTCAGACCGATAGTTCCTGTGAGCAGGAGAGTATCCTTTAGATGAACTGGTTGGAAAGATAGGCAGAACACCAAGAAATTTAGAGGAAGTAGTCACATGAGACTCTGATAATGCAAGAGAGGAGTACAAAATCTGATCTTCATGAAACCTCTACATGGCGTGATACATGAATATGATTGGTGGAGGGATCATTGCATTGATATCCTTTTTCCTATGAATCATAGCCAAGAATGATGCAATGTTTGTTATTTGGTTGAAACTTGTTGACAATCTCATGAAGAAGATATGATAAGCTAGACACCCAAAGACTCGTAAGATAGAGTAGTAGTGCAATAGAGAGATTCATAGGGAGACATGGATTTGAGGGAATCATTTGGCATGTAGTTGGTCAAAAAATTTGTTATACCTAAGGCTTCTACCCAAAAAATTTGAAGGGACGCAGTGCAAAAAAATGTAAGCGAAATCTAAAATAAGTAACACTTGAATGTATTAATTGTACATTTGAATTTTGAATGAATATAATGGTAGATATATCCTGACTTAGCTTTGCCGTTTGTAACATTAATTTATCAAACATTTGAATGAATATATTCTACATCCTGAATGTTAGTCATTATCCGCACACATCCTTCACTAGATGATGCAAATATTCGAATGTAGGCGATGAGATGCACAAGTTCAAGCGTAAATCACTTCACACATTCAAATGAATACTCGATTGGTTGTATTTTTTCACCAACATACATCAACCCACATTATGTTTTAGTACTTGGAAAATCTATATTCATTTCATATACTAACATCTCATTCATTGAGTCTATCAAATCTACTTCACATTTCTTTGTACATCGATCATATATAACACTACTACGCAACATTTTGTTACCCTCCTGAATTTTCAACATTGGTTAACATTCATATGAATGTCTATCAAGCAATGTCACATTGACTCTCTTGCAATTTGTGAATGTCGAGTTTTTGGCAACCTGTGATATAATACTCGTAAGTCCGAAACTTTGTAGTAACAATCACGCGCTATACTTCTCTCTCTCAATTTACATTCCATGTTTATAATTCATATGATCAAACTTTTACTGGGTATTTTAATTTATCCATTTTTTCTATCCATTTGAGAACATATATAATATAATCTTGTCACCTTTTGTTGGATATTCTAATATTGTTTTAAATATATGAATTTTATTATTTAATTTCGTACCAATTTTTAAATACATTAGAGTAAATTAACTTCAGTCAAATCTCGTGAACAACAACACACGATTTAAATTGAGATTGAAGGAGTAAAAAAGGCAATAGAATATATTTGGTCCAAGACCGGAACGAACCAGACCAATTTGGACCAGATTGAAGACCGAATTGAATAAAATCACAAATCGAAGATCGGACCTAAATATATTCGGGTTTGGATCGGATCGGACCGAAATACTTAGGACCGAACTGGTCCGGACCGATTGGACTGGATAAAAGTACATATTTTTTTATTATTTTGACCAATTAAATACTCCGTATATTTTAGGCTTTATACTTTGTACCATTCAAATAGAAAAAGAATAACAAAAATAGGCAACCTAAAAATAGATACACAATATGAACTACTTCTATATAGAATTATAAAAAGTAATAGGAAACATTTTTTTGGATTTTTTTTTAAATTACTTATTAATAAAAAAAAATTTGTAATTAAAAAAATCAAAGTGCAATACGGAACTTAAAAAATAGAGTTTTAGTATTTAGATCTTTTAGTTCCAGTAGGATCATTAGGTTCATTCGGTCCAATCGGTCTAGATCTAAATTATTTCGGGTTTAGACCGGACCGAATCAAAACCCAAATACCTAAATCCTTTGGACCGAAGACCGACCCGAAATCCATTCAGTCTGAACCTAACGATCCGATTTGATCAGTCTTTCAGTCCAGACCTTTGGACAGTATAGACTAGCCCGTAGCTTCTTCTTTCACCAATTGGCTTGAGTCAATGGGTGAAGGAAATGGGACTAGGAGTAGGAAAGGGGACTAGGAGTGGATTGTTGGAGACAATTAGTGGATAAAAACCATTATTTTTCAAACATGATAAAACTTTGAATAATGTCACACAAACCCTACCCATGCTAATATCATAATCGAAAACTTTACATCCAAATTGCACGACTCAAATCTGTGATGGATTTGATTGAGTTGGTCAAACACGCGTAAAATTATCATTATTTTTTTTTTTACAAAAAGGATAAATAATTATCTTTTTACTGCTGGCGCTGGGCTTGTTTCCAGTGGTAACTGTTGCCAGATAATTAATTAGTTTTGTTGGTCTTCCGAGTAACATGGAGAAAGTTTAATTTAGTCATTGTTAGAGTTATCCCAAGCAAGACCATCCCATTTCTCAATAAAGCATTGCACCGTCCATGTCATTTCTTTTTAATTTCCAGATAAAATAATACTCTTATATTTTAATAATTGCTCTCACGGTCTTCTTATCTTTGCAGTTTTTGTGGGAGAATGTCTTTTTATTATTTACAAACAAAATTTGTGGAAAAGAAGGAATTGGTTAACTTTTTTTTTTACCTTGACAATTGCATTAATATCACTCATTAAGTTGCGTTGGAGAGTGGTTCAATTCACGTGTGAAATGCAGACATTCTCAAAGATTTTATAGGCTAACAAATGGATTTTCTTTTTTTAGAAGGCTCAATCTTTATGATAAATGGATTATGGTTCATTAGATGAATACGGACCTTAAAATCACGTAAGAGTTTCCCTGGGTGGAAATGTTATTTACAAAGGCCAATATTTGTAGGATTTTCTGAAGAAAAAAAATAAATTATTTATAATCTCCAATGTGTGTGCATAAATAGTAAGGGTGACATTTAGTAGATCTCAGCAACGAATCCATGAAACGACGTGATTATTTTTCTAATTTTTCCCTCTTAATTTTTTTTTAATTGGGGACAGAATTTGTTTGAAGTTGGAGCCAACCCACTAATTGGGGCCGAGTGGGCAGTGGCAAGCTAATTGGCTATAAGTTTAGGTCATGAGAGGTGTTCCGTGTACGTACATCTAGATGTATAATGTTCCCGTACATCCGCTTGAATACTCATTTTCGTGTAACACAATACTCATTTTCGTGTAACACAATATTCATTTTTGAGCATAACTTAATTTTTAAAAGGGCAAAGATCTTTTGACCTTGGAACCTCGAGTCATATGCTCCATTCCTAAAATTGATAGTTCCTACCCCCGACCCCCCTCCTAAACCCTGCCCATGTCCCCTACCTCCCCCCCCCCATATAAGAACCATTTTGTTATTAAAAATGGAGTACTCATCGTGGATGCACGGGAAATATCGTACAACCGGTTGTACGGTATATATAAATAAAGAATTGCAGGCAATTTAAAGAACCATTTGCTTTATCTCATCATACCCCAAACCATCCTTTGTAAATTAGCAGTTAAGAGTTTTGAATGATTTTTAAACAAAGCGCCCATTTGAAAACGTTAATACTAAAGACTGATGTATATTTGTTCTTTTTTCAAAACGCTAAAGCTAATGTCAAACGCATCCAAACCGCTACTGCAGAAATAAATCTGCATTCTTATATTCAAAACAAAAGGATAAAGCCTATTCATCCAAGGAATGAAAATTCTGGCACATCCCAAAGGGTATTGATCAAAGTGTTTAACTCACAATGACTTGAGAAGCATATATAGATGGAGTGCTGGAAATGAGAGCAGAGTTTAAGTTTCTTTAGGTCATAGAGGAAATGAGCCTTTCATTGTCATCAAAAGTGATTGCCGGCGGACCGCTGATTTGCTTCCACCTGCAACGTAACGCGAGACGACAATGAGTTAAAATGGTTCATTATGTTATGTGACTTATATCCCATAAAAATTCACATTGTACAAAACATTGGGACAAGACCCTAACTGGAAGCTGCAGATAGACACTATAGAACCAAACTGAATCAAATGTTTAGCCTATTCATTCTTTCAATTAGTATGTTACTTTGAATAAATGTGTGCACTCTATCTATGCAGTGACAGATGGGAAGGCAATTCACCTCCGTAAGACGAATGTTTCATCACATAGGGCCTTCTCTAATCTCTCCTCAAATGGCGTTGCGTGCCAACTCACTTTCTGATCCTGCAACATCCACAAATTCCAGTAACTGATTCTTATTAAATTTCTTATATACTATATATTTTTTTTAAAAAAAGAGGCAAAGGGTAGAAATCAAGCTAGGCAAACCTCTTTGTACTTTGTAGTGGTATTTGGAATTCCATTGGCGCCGCACCATTTAGGTGAGATATTAGAAGGGGGGCCATCATCATTCCAGTGAGCAGCAACCATCCCAAGTATAGGCCTGTCCCCTGGAGTTCCACGAATAGGAACACTTCCGCCTAAATGTAAATTAGTATCTTCCTGGTTAAGAGGTGGTTTCCACCATGAAGACTGACTGGCTTCCAACTTTGATTCCTCCATGGATGTGGTGGCTTCTCTGCCAATCACTGAGTCAAAGTTTGTTTCCTTGGGCTGTGCATCAGATTCTCCCATTCCACTCGGCAATTCCGTTGAAGTATTATTACAGTCTTGAAAGGAAGTAGAACCTTCACCCACCAATCCCTTCAGCTGAGATTCTTTTTCTGCCAGGTTTAAGGTGGAACCGACATATTGGCACCTGAACCGGGGAACTTTTACATTTGGCATGTCCTTTGTGTATGATGGGAAAATAGTGCCAGGAGTTTGCATGTCATCAGTTAGTTTCAAGGGGGTTGGGTAGGGTGAATGATGGGGTTTTAGACGAGCTAGTTTGGAAGAAAATGCCTTTGCTGAAACTGAAGGGTAAGAATCGACCTCAAAACGAACAGATTTATTTATGCGTGTAGAACTAGGAAGAATTACAGGTGAAACTGATGGATCAGAGTAAATATCAGCCTGGTCAAGATTAATCTCAATCGATGGACTGCCATGAATGGAACTGGAGGAACCAGTGCTGTTTCCCACATCCTTCATGCAGCTACAGTAATGAACAAACACATATTCAGAGCATTATGCAATGTATGTAGCAAACATAAAGACTCATTTTTGAAGAAAAACATGGCACACGATAAAAAAAAATTGAAAAAACGCCCATTTAGTTTTGGAAATTTATAGACGCGCTACATATGGAAGTGGGACTAGAGTGTGACACATGAAGAAATCCATAAAATGGCAACTGTCATAAAATATATCTGTGCACTTTGAAATGCAATAAGACTATTAACTGAAAGTGCGGATTACCATGAAGCTAATACGGACTAATGGGGTCAGAATGATGATACCTAGCAGGAGTAACGAGAGCAGAAACTGAACCCTCCATCAATTTGTCACAGTTTTTGGAAGGTGTTAGAGGTTGTTCAGGATGTGAATGCAGGGTTTGGTTAACAATGGACATGTCAGGTAGCCAGGAGTTGTGATCTGAAGGAAACAATGCACCGTTCTGAGATGATGAATCTTCACATTCTTTCGATAATTTTAAAACTTCAACAGGGGTTTCGGGTAAGGTTCCACAAGCTTTGAGAAATTTAGCCTGCAGAGTAAACCAGTAAGACCAAATAAAAAGTAGAGGCCATAGGAATCTTCATTTTCCACATTATGACATTGGGCATGTATTAGGATATTGAAAGTTTATTTCAGTATTTTAAATTAACATTTGCATAAGAATCCTAAAGTGAGTTATATAAGTAGCCTTACTGTGGATTCAACTTATCATAGCTTATACTTCTTCCGTTTCAAAATGGATGTCCTATGTGCGTGTAACATGAAAATCCAAGCAACTTACATTTTCGTTATCTTGTTTAGCATTAGTGAATAAAATCTATTGGTTTCAAAAGTCTACGGTAAGTACTACTAAACACACAAGTAAATTCAGAAAATATTAACAAGTTCAATGAAAAATAAACAAGGAATGAAGAGTTGGCCAAAATTAGGGCATGAAATATAGGCTAAAATCCACCATTGGTCCTTCAACTTTATCAGTTGTGCACGATTGGTCCTTCAAGTTTCAAAAGTCCATAAATAGGGAATAATAATTATGTTAGAGGTAACCCCATGACCCACAACGCATTATACTTGGAGAAGTAATTTGAAGGATATGCGCCTGCGAAATATATGAAAACGCCAATCAGGTACTATGAATTTTTCTCAGTAATACTGAAATTATTCATATGTGTGTTTTAGTGTTTACTCCCGGATATTGATACGGAGTATATAACTCTTCTAAGTTGTTTTTAGGTTTGTTTAGGTTTTTAGGTTTTAGTGTTTTCTCAGATATTCACTTAAAGCACATTACGCTCTGTGCTGCATGTTTACATTACTGAGAGCACCACAGTGAGAGTGAAATGAAATCAATACATTAGAACATGCAGGTGAAACTCTAACTATGACAACCAGCTTCCGAAATGCATCTATTCTATGAGCAAGCGAGTAAGTGAACGATAAAGTTTTCAGACAAATCATGAACCCTCAATGCATTCTCTATGGTTACTACTCATTTTGAATAATTTGGATTCATCAAATCCGTGAGGACAGCTTCTCAAACATAATAAAGATGGATCCTTTGAAATGTTCTAAAGAACCGCAGCATTGACACATTCAAGACTAAGCATCATGAATAAGGTCTGGAATGCAGATAGAATCATAGTAAAGGTAGAACAGCATTCAATTAAAAAGAGGATTGATGTTCACAAAAACAAAGAAAGAAAACAAGGTGAATCTAAGGAACATTGTTATATTAAACTAAACCGCATCATCAAAAACAGCCAAGCATTTTTTGGGTACAAACCTGGTGCTTGAGCTCTGTAATGTCCAACTCATGCGCAGAGATCACATTGTCATGTTTCTCCTTTGCCATGGCTTCCACGCCATATTGATCTTCTTTCTCTAAATAAGTTAATCAATATCAGACACATCCATCAAATTTACTAAAATAGCCAATTATCAATCTGAATTAAAGTGATTTCCTCTACACATGTTATACCAATAAGAATGTAGAAATTCAATCATTTTTTACAAAAAAAATTACCGTCCGAAATGAATAAAGAATAAAACTGACTCCAATTGCAGTGCACTTCCTGATCACATGAACAAGAAAACAAATTTCAAAAACACATTCTAATCCCCGCATGGTTTTTTGCAGTTCAAATACTTTCAGTTGACGACTAGATCTCATTCCTATGTGCAATCGCATATACGCGAATCTAACATTCATAGCAGATTCTGAATTTCAGGATGAAACTTTTGCCATTAAATAAAAAAAATCAGAAACAGAGAAAGCGAAATGAACTTGCAGGTTGGGATACGGTTCTGTAACGGGATCGATCAGCCGCAGGAGAATCGCCTCTGCCGCGGCTAACGCGGAAGCAGCTGAAGAAACACCCCATCGCCGCCGAGAGCGCCGCCGCAAAAAGTAGCCTGACGACGGTGAAGAGAGGGAGGCAGTTATCGCGAGCTCCGATAGCAGGCCACGACCAAACCATATCAAGAACAGTCCGATTGTACCGGAGCAATCGATCGGAACCCTAAAACTTTTAGATGATTATAACTCGCAAGCTTTTTTATGGAGAAGAAGAGAGAA